ATATTGTGGTATGAGGAGATGAGTATTTCAGTGTCCAATGCCATGGTGAAGAGATAGCATTGGATCTAACATAGCTTGACAGATTTTGTATCAAGGGGAGAAATCATCACAATGTTGTTTTGGGAAAAGATATCTAAATATTATGTCAAAGAGATAAAGGAGGAGGAAAGGGAAAAAAGTAATTTATTGGGTAAGTAATTATGAAATTAAAATAACCTGGAATAGATGCTAATGACAATAGCAAACTCCTAAAAGACTTCAGAGGCAGTTTGTTAATTCTGTCTACTAATATTAGGATTTGTGATATGCAAGTTACCACACTCTGGTAATCAGTGAACAGACATATTCCTGAATTTGAGAAGGAAATTGTATGAAGAATACATGAAGAACTAAAATCTAGAAATGAAAATAAAAAGTTGTAAAGTGGAATAAGGATTCTAACAGGCATTTCTTCAAAGATGTCAGGAACTGCTGATAACAGAATACCAATATTGATAGTTAGGTGAGAACAGAGTGTTTAATACTGCCAAATGTAAAATTATGAATAGATCTGAAGAAAAATTTCATGTTATGTATGTCATGTCATAATGAAGAAATGAAGGGAGTAAGTAGGTAGCTATGGAGTAAGTTTAGGGAATTGAGAAAGATGATTAGAGAATTTGATGTAGAAAAAATAATAAAATAACCTTAAAACCAAGGAGAAAAAAAATGACAAATAACTGGAGGCCTGTGTGATACTGGGGAACAAACTTCAGTGCTACTAGCCATAGGCAACTATTGGTGCTTCTATAAATAAGAGGGGAGACTTTTGCAGACTTCATATATATCAGTATGTAATGAGTGTTATATATAAAAAAATATTGAATTGTAGCCTGATTCATATATGAATATATAATACTTTTAATAAATGAAATAACTTTTTAACCAACAAGTAGCTAGAAATTCCTTTCAGATAGGAAAATTATGTGATTAAAAATAGGTTTGTTAACTTTGCCAGTAATCAAATCTAAAAGATTTTATGGTAATAATAATTTTATATAAATCACAAAATAAGTGGAAGAAAGCCAGGTAACTGGAACTCAGATGGGAAGCTCTGATTAACTCTCAGGAAATGACTGACTTTCCAGTAATCAACATGAAAAAGGCAATCAGGTGAGTGTATACTGTGTACCACTGTGGATTCTGTGATGTTCAGGGTTTGTAATTTAGCCTTCTTGCTGATTCATTAGCAATGTGAGTACTCAGCATATATTAATGATCTACAAGGAAAAGATTAATGGCATTCTACAAGTTCAGAGGCTCTCGGAAAAGCTTAAGAGATAAATATGCAATGCTACAATCTTAGAATAACACAGCTGTTATAATAGGAGGCTGTGGGATGTAGGGATTGAAGAAAGCAGGAAACCTCTCTTGCTTCGTTTCAGATGGGACTGCTCTTAGAGGATGTCAGGAAAAGATTCCTGAACTATTCCAGAAGGAAGGAAACATGTAAATGAATGCTTTTTGAAGATTAAACACTTAAACCAAATAAAATCAAAACTCTTGTAGCACTTGGACAGAGTGGGTTGAGATGGGGTCCAAGAGAGGTTGGAACTTGCTGGGGAAGGTGGGCTCAATTCTTTCTGAGAATCTAAGTCTCATACCAAATTGGAGCCTCTTGTCACATTTACCAACAGGAAGATAAATTCTATTCTATTAGAATAGAATTTGTGTGGGCAGAAAATGACCACTGAGAGGCCAACATGCTCTGTGCTTTCTCCACTGCCATCCATTTTTAAGGACTGACAATATAGCAATCAAAAATTAGGATTCCTTTTTAATTTTAGTTTTATATTTATTTGCTTGTTTTACCTTATGTGTAGATAAATCTGTGGCTTGTTGTATATATGTGCACCATGGGCATCCAGTGCCCATAGAGGCCAAAAGAAGACATTTCTCTTAGGTAGGAGATACAGATGTCTCTGAGCTTTCAAATGTGCATGCTGAGAACAGAATTTGGGCCTCTGCAAGAATAACAAGTGCTCTTAACCAGTGAACCATTATGATGTTTTGTTGTTGTTGTTTTGCAAACACTCACTGTTACAGGATTGAAGTTTTATGGAGAAAAGCATCAATAACAGACCAGTTCCAGTGATGGCAAATATTTGCCACAGACACATACGGAACCTGATCAGATGATCTGATTATTGGTTTCTTCAGAGAGATTCTTTCCTTTACATATCTGTTTAATTTACTGGGAAATATTACTTTTTAATATTCTATTACCATTAGGGTCGTTGCCACTAAAATATTAAGCAGAGAGATTATGTTGATTAAAAAATCCTCAGTATGGGCAAATTATTAATAAAAGACCAATATTTTACTGATTGTAACAAAATAATGAGGAAGCAGCAGAACTGTAGTCCAGTTCTCTGCCTTTAGAATTAAAATGAAAGCCACCAACTTCATAAACAAGATGATTCCTGAAACTACATCATGCACCTTATGACCTGTATTGCCTTGATGCACTGGGTCTTTATATCCACAAAAGGGTAAAATCATAAAAGTAGTTATAGAAAGGCTGCTGTGTGTATCATTTTGTGTCTCCATTTAACTAGCTGGGTGTCCAGGAATCCACCGCATTCTTGCTCAGCCTTTGGAACATTAATACTGAGGATTTCTCATCCTGGCACATGAATAAACAGGATGTACTCTTAGACCCACAACTCCAGAGACTGTTCTGGCATCAATAGAATTGGCTCTTAGCACTGTGTTTCTAGTGTGACAGAAGCTGTCACAGCAGAAGTACCAGCATGGCAGACTGGTACTCTGCATGCCCTGTTCTGACTGGAAGGCCATTATCTGTCTGAGACAGAACCTCCTATAAAAAGAGATGGCATCCCAGTGACATTTTCTGAAGTTGGAATTTAAGAGAAACAGATTCATAATTCAATCCATAAAATATAATCTAAATAGCATAGTGACACTTCATGTTTTCTAGAAGGTGAAATTAACAGGTTATATTTGTTTCTCTCTAATACATATGACTATATGTTGGCACACACATGCTCTCTCTCTCTCTTACCCAGCCATGACCAGTTGTTCTTTTATTATTCCACATTCAAAATTTATTATGTGGGGAGTGTCTTCGCCTGCTCAATAGAAACACTTCCATATTTGACTGCAGCATTTCTCACAGAGCATTTGTGTCAAAAGAGTTCAACAAAAAGTTTGTTCTTAATATTCTAAGTTGTAGCCCACCTTATCTACTAGGGACTGAGTGTTCATCTTGGAGCAGACCCAAGATGCCCCTAATTCTTCACCTCTGAACTTCTGGGTATTTCTTTATAATTCATCTTCATTTGTTAATCTTCCACTAAGTAGAAGAACTCCTGTCTAACAGGGAACCAAGGCACTACACTATGTTGGGAATTCAGTGGGACAACGTTGTCTTCCATACTGTCCCAATGAATTATTTCTTGTCATCCCTTTTACCCTATATTTTTAGCCCATTCTCATCCCTTTGTGACCCCTGTTAATCCCAGCAAAGCTTTCAACCAGAGGCTAGAGATACAAAGGGCATGTCTTAAGATGGTGAAGGGAATTTATAGCAAGCTCACAGCTAACGTCATCTTAAATGAAAAGAAACAACTCAATTGCACTAAAATCAGGGATAGGGGAGGACACTCTGAACAGGGTACCAGTGGTGCAGGAGTTTAAACTATCAATCAATAAATAGAAGTTAAAAAGTTTCTAGGTAGCAAAGGACACTACTATTCAAGCAAAGCAGCAATCTACAGCCTAGGAAAGAATATTTGCTAATTACACACCTGAGAGAGGGTTATCATCTAGAGTAGATAAATAACTAAAACAGCTGAACATCAAGAAAACAAATAATACAATAGAGAAATGAGTCATAGAGACAAATAGAGTTCTCAAAAAATGAAACACAAATGGCTAAGAAAAAATTTAAAATCTGTCACCATCTTTAGCCATCAAAAAAAAAAAAATCATCTCATCTCGAATTGTCAAAAAACAACAGCACATGCGGGGAAAGAATGAGGGAAAAAAAAGGAAACATTTATTCATTGCTAGAGGGACTGCAAACTTGGTACTGCCAGTATGGAAATCAGTACGGCAGTACTAAAGATAGCCTACCTTAAGGCCTAACTCTTAGGCATACAGACAAAGGATTCCATGTTTTACTCTAGAGATACTGGCTCATCCCTGTAACCATAATAGCCAAAAATTAGAAACAGCCTAGATGCCTCTCATTAGGTAAATGGATAGTGAAAAGGTGGTACAATTTCACAATGGGATCTAACTCACTATTCAGAAATTGTGAACTTTTTAAGTGAACAGGGTAGTGCTGGAATGAATCATCTGGACTGTTGAAATTCAGGAAAGGCAAATTTTACATGTATATTTCTTATGTGTGCATGCCAGTTTTTAAGCTCTCTCTATGTGTTTCAATCTAAATAACCATAGAAGTCAGGTAATTAGCAAGGAGCCAGGAGGTATGGTGGGTGTTCCAAGGATGGCATAACATAATATAGTGCTCTAAAAGAGAAAAAGGAGAAACTAAAGAGATTAAATGTGGAGGCAGCTGTGAAGAGAGGAAAAGGAAGGCAATATGGTGAGGGATAATTAACACTAAAAGCTTCAGCAAAGCTGTATGGAAAGCTGTTTAACTTGTAAGTACGTCTCAAATTGTATATTCTAGTGGGTCTCAACTTTCCTAATGCTGACACCCTTTGATACAATTCCTCATGTTGTGGTGACTCCCAACCATAAAATTATTTTCATTACAACTTCATAACTGTAATGTTGTTATTGTTGTGCATGATAATATAAATATCTGATATGCAGGATATCTAACAAGAGACCCAGGTGAAAAAATTTTTCACTGATCCTGATGAGGCTTACAAGATGAGAACCTCTGGTATATACCTATAAAAGGAATTTAAACAGAGTCACAGTGTAATGAGTGGGGGGGTAATGTCCTCAATAGATACCTTTTTAAAAATATGAAACACTTCATGGATTTGTGTATCATTCATGCATGAGGGTCATGCTAGTCTTCTCTGTATCGTTCCAATTTTAGTATGTGTGCTGCCAAAGCAAGCACACCAAATTGGTATCATATGCCAAAATAAAACAGCCAGTGCCCACAATGGCTTATATCTTCTTGAATCATTGGCCAAAAGGATCCCATATACACGCTCCCCCCCAAAAATATTACAGAATATTTCCAAGACAGTTGGTTACCTTCCACTACCTGATAATAAAACTCTAGGGCTAAAGACACCACTTATTAATTTCATTGAACATAGAGAATCTGGTTCCTGGCTAGAAGCTTCACCTATGCTAACTGGCATCCACAGTGCTGGAAGGCACAAGGCAGATTAATGAAGAAGAAAAGAAGTTAGTGACAACAGAGACATGCCTGCAGGGCAAACTGGTACTATAATGGAGGCGTAAATGTTATGGAAGTAACCAATTACAATTACTTTTAATATTGGATGTAAGACCCACATTATGAGATGGAAACCATACCTCATACTGGTAAAGTGGCCAGTAACTTTAGTCTAGATAGATTTTAAACCCTACAGAAAAATCTACTAATATTATTCTGCTGAAAGAATATCCTAACAACATACTGCAAAGTGCAGCATCACTCAAACACCATAAAATTCTTTTTCATTAGATGGTAATTGACACAGATACCCACAGCTGGACAATGTTCAGAGAGCAAGAGACAATGGCACATTAAGCCCCATTTATCTTTAATATAGAATTTAAGTTTAATTTTCATTACAAAATGTACTTGATCAAATCTCCAAACATAGTGTTTGCCATTGGATAAGGATTATCAGTGTGTGATTTGATTCAATGGGATGTGACTACAAACTTCAAAGTACCAAGAGAACTTGGAGACCATTCTATAGATAGCAATGGAGTCAAAGATTTAAAGCTAGAAAGGACTTAGGAATCAATACAGTCCCCTCACTACACAAAGAAGAAATAAATGGAAAAGATAACTAAGACAAATAGCCTAAGAATTATTTATTTTGTTGAAAGAAAATGCAGGGCAGTATTTTCTAATTACAAATACAAATGTGTACAGAAAGAGCATGAGGGCATTATTTTACTATTCAACACATCACATACAAATCCAACAACACACAATGGTGCACAGTGATGATATGTAGGCATTCATGCTCAATCAAGGAAAATAGTAAAATTATGTTAGTAAGGTCAACAATTTTAAAAAATAGATAGTTAAGCTCTCAATAACCTGAGATGTTCTAAGGTTTTTTCTAGAATTTCAATGTGAACATCTGTGTTGTTTTCAGTACACATAACAATGTTTGACAATTACATAGCAATTTTTACAGATCAAAGCATCTTTTAATATAACTCAATAAGTAGAGACAAAAACTAATGAAATGAATATTAATATTCCCCTTATGATTTCTAGAAACTAGAGAACAGAGAAAATACAGTTTCACAATATTAGTTAATAAAAAGCAGGCACTGCAAAAGGTCAAGATTGGGTAATACAGTTAACAATAAATGAACCTGCAATCAAATCAAAAGAATATAAATAGACCATAAAAAAGGAAGGAAGAAAATACATGCAAAAAGAGAGAAAATACAGTTGAGATATTCAGTGAAATGCTAATATTTTTGTGGATAAAAGAGAACTGTATTTGAATAAAATTAGTCTTGAGAAATTGCTGCAAGCAAATAATTACTTCCATTCAAGTTTGGGTCCTCTAGTATCACCCTTCAGAACAACTTGAACGCAGCATCACTGTGAAGTCAAAGCCAGCAATCAAGATCTGATGATTCACCTGCACCAAGTGACACCCTCTAAGAATATAAGTGAAGTAACCTTTATGTCTTCAACAGCACATAATCCAAATGGTTAATGAATGCTGTCAATACTTCATGAGGTTTAAAGTAATAAAATATCTGTGTCCTTGCCTGGCAAGAAGACTCAGCAGATAATGGTGTTTTCAGTAATGCAGAACTGAACAGTAAAAGGAAAGATTGAATTCCACAAGTAATCTTCTTACTTTATAATTTGTATTCAAATGTAACAATATTTACCTTCCAATACTTTAAAGAAAGCCCAAGTGTTAAAACATTGTGAGGTATTTGAATTTGCTATATGAATGTACAAAAATAAAAAATAATAGATTACATGTGTACATTTTTAATATATTGCACCAAAAAAATAAAACTGGAAGTCAGCATGAAGAACTGATGAGCACAGTTACCCAAGGTAGGGTGGAAGAGTGGGCTGTACAGACAGGGTGGGACTGGGACCCAAAGATTACACTTTCAATACATTTTTATAACTTTTGATTTTTACATTCAAACTCTTTGATCACATATTCAATTTCTTTAATCATAAGAAGAGTAACAGAGCAAGTAAAAGTTAAAACATATATATTCATTTATTCTAATAATGTTTATTCAACAACTCTAGTGTGTCAGAAGCTGCATCAGGCATGGGAGAATAAAGAATGGCAATCCTGGTACTTAAGAAGCATAGAGCCTGGAGAAAGAAGCCGACAAGCAATCATGACCTAGATTTAAAACCTGAGTGACTGAGCGAAGAAAACTGCACCAGTAGAAACCAAAACCAAAAAGGAAAGCCACTTTAAGAAATAATGTCCTTGATAGGAGGTAAGCTACAATTTGACAGAATATAGGCTTTATGCAAATTGAAATGTCTTCTGTGAGTTCATATGCAACTGACATTCAGGAAGATTCTCAAACAGCAATTTGAGTGTTCTTCTGAGACCAAAAGTCTAGAAGAGAAAACAAAAAGATGAAAACAACACAAGGAGTCATTAGCAGTGTCCACCATGGTTGGATTTAGGACATGTTTCATTTTAGGTCTAGAGACCTACAAGACTGACACCAACTAACATTTTGAGCAACAGTGGACAGGCTACCATAAGTGCCTTTCCCTGATAATGAGATCGACAATTAACTTATCCACCATCTAGTACCTCATCTAGTACCTGTTGGAAACAGAAGCAAACCCCCATAACTAAACACTGAGTCAAACTAGAATCCAGATGCAGAAACACATAGAGACAGCTGACCTGAACAAGGAGCAGCTAATGCCCCCCCCCCAGACTGATAGCTGGGAATCCAGCATGGGACTGACTCAGACCTCGTGAATATGGGTCTCAGCTAGAAGGACTGAGCATTCTAAGGGACTTCAGACAGTGGAACCAGGATGTATTCCTGGTGCACAAAAGGACCTTGCAGACACATCTCCCATAGAGGGATACTCTCTTAACCTAGAGACAGGGGAGAAGTCTTAGTCCTTACTTCAAATGACTTGACAGATGTACATGACCCCACCTGGATGGTATAGCCCTACATGTGAAATGGGTGTGGGGGGATGGGAGGGGAGGGAGGTCATGGTGCATGTGAGGGGATAGAGAGGGTAAGAGGATGGGAGGGAATGAGAGGGAACTGGGTTCAACATGTAAAATAAATTAATAATAATAATGATAATAATAATAATAATAATAATAATAATAATAATAATAATGATAAAGAAGTTTCAACTCAAGATTTCTGTTATTCTCCCCACAAAGAAGATAGAACTATTTTGGAATAAGATAAGCAAATGGTTTAAAATATAAAAAGTCCTTTGGAAAGGATATGACAATGTAAAATTAAAGATATAGTAATACAACTGCACTGGGTGATGTACTACTTCTGAAGTTGGGTATCTAACATCAGGTGAGTTGGCTAGAGTCATTTTATGATTTATTGCATAGCAATGATTCCTCAGTACAGCATTATTCAAAAAGATACTCAGATTTGAATCAACATTCTTCTATTTTTGATCATTTAAGGAAATCAGACTATACTGAATATTACTCACTCCCAGAATCAGCTGGGAGGACTTGATGTGAATAAAGCCGATTTTTGCCAGTTTGCCCTGTAGGTGACAAACTCCATGTAAAGGAAAGCATGAGGGGTGTTGTTGCAACTCCTCATCAAATCCAGATTCTTCGTCATTTGATGTCAGTCACAAAAGGAACTTGAATCCTGATGAGCAATAACAATCTAGAGAATGTAGCTGGAAGTTTTGAATTGAACTTGACTCTCATAATATGACAGAGTACTGGCTTGGGTGTCTGCTTATGTCCTTTTTTAATATATCTTGGAAAAAAGGGATTTTTTTTGTTTTTCTATTAGATTATTTATTTACTTATTTATTTTATATAAACAAGTCCATTTAAATAAAAACAAACCATTATGGACAATATTTGGGAATTTGGGTGTCATTCTTTCCAAACTACTTCCTGCTGGTAAGGGGCACTGTCATGGGGGATTCTAATAAGATGCAGAAATTCTGGCTGTAGTCTTCAAGGCTGCTTTGCCCAGCTGTTTTGAATGTAGGATCACCTGGTACTCTGTTTCAGGTGGTCTGGCTTGATCAAACCACATTAGTCTGGAAGGAATCCACAGCTTTTCTTTTTCTGTGGAAACAAAAATAGAAATCCTTTTTCCCAGTAACCTGTCCTTGAACTTAAATTTTGGAGTCAGAGCATTTTTTTTTTAATTTAATATTTTACATGTCGATCCCAGTTCCCCCTCCCTCCTTCCCTCCCTTCTTCCCTCCCTCCCTCCTTTTACCATCTCTGCCCTCTCACATGCATTCTAACTGATAGCTGGGAAGCCAGCATGGGACTGACTCACCCCCCCCCCTCCGAATATGGGTCTCAGCTAGAAGGACTGAGCATTCTAAAGGACCTCAGACAGTGGAGCCAGGATGTATCCCTGGTACACAAAAGGACCTTGCGAACACACACCCCATGGAGGGATAACTGCCTTAACCTAGATACAGGAGAGAATCCCTAGTCCCTACTTCACATGATCTGTCAGATCTACATGGCCCCAACTGGATGGCATTCCCCTAAATATGGAATTGGGGTGGGGGATGGGAGGGGAGGGTGGTTAGGGTGCACGTGACAAAGAGATTTTTAAAAGTATGACACAAATGACTCACTCCACCAATATAAAGGAAATTTCAAGGTGGTGAGTGCTAAGTGAGATTGACTGTCTCCAGTTCCTCATAGGTGTTCT